AGATTGTATTATTCTCCCCTAGTTGTTTTCAGAATGTAATCGACGATCAATAGAAGAGGTCATGTACATTACGTTATATTACTGTACATACTCGCGAAATTATTTGCCATGTCTCTTCTATACATTAGCCAGGTAGCAAGTTGCCAAAGAAATCAACTTTTTGTTTATGGCAGAGATATTATCTACCCTGTTTTACTGCACCTGTTTTCCACCCTCTTTTCCTGCTCTTCAATATCTGCTCCATTTACCCCCACCATTTTTTGTTGTTGATATTATCACATTGAATTAGAATTATTGGTTTATTATTAATTGTGTGCGGAGGGGAATTACCAGAAATTTGAAATGATTAAGATCTTATCTTCAAACTGTTTTCAGTTTAGTCATTATATTTACTACGTGTGTTTCCCGCTTGATCACACAAGCGGCTACTGTTTAATACATATTATGATGAATTTGATCAACTTTCAGCATATTTTCAACCTTACTCTGTACTTATTAGCATATGTAAATTCACTACCTGTGCGCTCTGGTATTTCACCTTACGTATTTCATTCGAGCTTAAACGGAAATGTTTTGATTCACGACTTATTATATAAACATCTGTACTTGCAATTCTTTCAAATGTTAATTTCTATGTTCTACAATGAGTATCAACTGTAACATAGATTCTGTGCATGGAAATGCACCCTTTGATCAGTCTCTTGACGACAGCCTGACTACCAATTCCTCGTTAAATAGTGAAGGTGCTGATAATGTTGACATTAATGAACTCAATTTAGAAACGCAAGAACTACGTTTTGATTTCGATTTGGACGATGCTCGAGTAAACAATATATCTTCCGATTATCTGTCAATAAATAATTTTATTGCGGACGCGAACAATAACCTAAAAAGCGACCTGCTTTTATTACATTGTAACATCAGAAGCCTAAACAAGAACTTTGACAAATTTGTTTTACTTGTAAACGAACTCAAACCCAAATTCTCGGTTATCGGTTTATCTGAAACGTGGCTTAGAGACATACCCTCTTCCCTTTTTTCAATCAATGGTCTTACTCTTGTCACAAATAGCAGAACCGAAAAAAGGGGCGGGGGAGTGGGTTTATACGTCACAGAGGGACTGGATTACGAGCTAATTGAAGAATTGAGTGTGTTATCTAATATAATGGAAAGTATCTTTATCGAAATTAAACTTCCTGGAAAGAAAAATATAATTGTTGGTGAGATTTACAAACCTCCCAATTCCATTCCTAAAGACTTTATCGAAAAAATACATACAATATTATCTTCGCCTTCACTGAATAACAAGATATGCATAATAATGGGAGATTTTAACCTAAACTTATTACAATGTGACGAGAATACGAGTTGCCAAGATTTCTTGGATCTGATGCTATCCAAATCTTTTGCCCCAACAATTACCAAACCAACTAGAATCACTGAATATTCAGCCACCTTAATTGATAATATCTTCGTAAGTGGAACTCCTATCGTCAAATCCGGCGTTATTGTCACTGATATCTCCGATCACTTTCCGATTTATACTGTAATTTCGAATGTAATTTCCCATTCTAATCCCAATACAAACAAATGCTCGGGTATCCGTTATTTATCGGACCCCGACCTTCGTAGACTTAAGGAAGCACTTACCATAACTGATTGGTATGCAGTGTATAATTGTGATGACGTGGATACTTCATTTGATAACTTTATGGAAATATTAATGCTTACTCTCAATTCTTTTCCTACTCGTCAACAAAATTGCTCAAATTACAAAAACATCCTAGACTCGCGTGGATTTCAAAATCTCTCCTGAAATCTATCAACAGGAAGAACACCCTCTATTACAAATATAAAAAAAATCATACAGTTAAGTCCAAATTGAAATATTCTCGCTATCGTAACATCCTAACCACCTCGTTACGACTAGCAAAAAAGAATTACTTTACTAAACAATTTAACGTGAATAAAGGTGATATAAAAAACACTTGGAGGGTGATAAATAACGTTCTGAAATCCAGGCGAGTCTCAACTCATATTTCAAATATTATGATAAACGAAAACCGAATTCAAGATCCTCTTGTTATAGCAGAGGAATTTAATAATTATTTTGCTAACATTGGCCCAAATCTTGCTCAAAATATTCCTGTATCCGATTTGCATTTTCAATATTTCCTGGAAACGAAAAACACTAATTCAATGTTCTGCACCCCCATTCTGGAGCATGAAGTAATCGATATAGTTAAAAATATGAAAACAAAAAAAAGCGCAGGGAACGACGGTATTACAAATTTTATATTAAAGAAATAATAGGTGAAATAGTTTCCCCTCTTACCCATTTGCTTAATCTGTCAATAATGAATGGCATCGTACCCAAAAAGATGAAAATAGCTAAAGTTATTCCAATTTTTAAAAAGGGGAACGCGCAAGACATTGGAAATTATCGCCCTATTTCTCTGCTCACGTCTTTTTTCCAAAATACTTGAAAAATTGATGTACTCTCGAACAATGCAGTTTCTTATTGATTTTGATATTCTGTCTGATACCCAATTTGGGTTTAGGCAGAAACACTCTACAACCCATGCATTACTCATGTTTTTAGATAAAGTAGCTCATGCTATCGACGATATGGCCCATACTGTGGGTATTTTCCTGGACTTCTCCAAGGCCTTTGACACTATTAATCATGATATATTACTGTACAAGTTATCCCATTATGGGATTCGAGGAAAGGCCTTGGAGTGGTTCAGGAATTATCTCACAGACAGAAAACAGTATGTTAGTATTAATGGTCACGATTCTTATCAAAGATCAGTATCATGTGGTGTCCCACAAGGTTCATTATTGGGTCCGTTATTATTTGTAATATATATCAATGACTTCAGAAATTCGTCTGAAATAATGTCTTTTATTCTCTTTGCAGACGACACTAATATTTTTTATTCACATCGTAACCCTCAATATCTCCTGAGGACCGTTAATAGTGAACTTAAGCGGATACAAGCATGGATAAATGCAAACAAACTATCATTAAATGTCAGTAAAACCCACTTTATGCTGTTTAGCAATTGTATAAAATCCCTACCCGGTAATATTTTAATAGACAATACAAATTTAAACCAGGCCGAATCCACAAAATTTCTTGGTATCTACATTGACAGTGATTTATCATGGAAGATACACGTTAACTATTTGTGCAAGCTGATTTCTAGAAACACAGGTATTTTAAATAAACTAAAACACGAGTTCCCAACCCATATTTTGTTATCTCTGTATAACACCTTAATTTTACCTTACCTTAACTACGGTATTCTTGCCTGGGGAAACGGGACCAAAGACCAACTTGAAAAACTTCTCATTATTCAAAAACGGGCAATAAGAAACATAAATCATGCGGGATTCCTTTCCCATACTAGTCAACTGTTTTTTAATAACAAAGTTCTCCGAATTGGTGATGTGTATGTGTACAGCGTAGGAGTGTTTATGCATCAATTAACTATAAATGAGTTACCTGCTGTTATTTGTGCACTCTTCGTACGAAATAATACAATCCATTCTTATTCCACTCGCCAACGTAACCTATTTCACCTTCCCCTTACACGAACTTTGTTTGCTCAAAAAAATATCACTTTTACGGGCCCTAAACTTTGGAATGACCTCCCCATTGAATTCACAGAATCAACCTCACTATATTCGTTCAAGCGCAAGCTGAAATGTCATCTCCTAAGCAATTACGCTTTAATGGTAGAAGAAGCTTGATGTTACTTTTAATAATTACTGTCGATGTTCAAACTGAATGTTTCTTTTAGTTTGCTGTTGTTACCCTGTGAATTGCCATTGCGTACGGGTAGTGAAAATGTTATACAAATATTGCTAAGTGTATGAATATTGTTTATTTTTCTTCATAATAAGTTTCAACTTAATTAAATTACGTTTTTTTTTAAATATACACAAGACTATGTCATTGTTGTAACTTTCGGAGCCTATGACCTACAAGCATTGCTTTCTCTTTAGGCTCCATCATATTTCTTCCCTTATTCAACTTAGTCTTATGTATCATTCTTTTTTTTTTTGTATAAACGCATCCTAAAATGAGTTCAAAATGTAACATGCTATATGTAATGATGTACTATACAACATGTGAGAAATATGAAAATAAACTGAAAACTGAAACTGAAAACAATCTGCAAAGTAAAAATGGCTAAATATCTACATTTCTCCGCCCATGCTGTCATGAAGGGTTAGCAATGGCTGGTGGCTAAGGCCCTTCTTTGTTTCTTTTGCTGCAGCTATTGCTTTTGAGGTAGGTACATGTACCATGTTAATCATATTTAAAAAGGCTTTATATTCTGCAGAAGTAAAATTGTTATTTGTGTACATTTTTCTGTCTTTGCAGTCATGAAGGTCCAGTTTGGCAGGTGGCTTGGGCCCATCCCATGTACGGCAACATCCTGGCTTCCTGCTCCTACGATCGGAAGGTGATCATCTGGAAAGAAACCAATGGTGCTTGGGATAAACTCTATGAATACGGCAACCATGAATCATCAGGTTAGAGATCCACACCTACTTCAACTATACAGGGCTATACAAAAATTAGCTTCTTTTTTTTTACCAGTCTTTTACTTTTACCTTGAGAGATCTTTTGTTTAGAATGCAGTCTTGAAAGTGCTTGGAATGTTGATTGTGACTGCCTTTATTAAATGATGATGAGGTGTTTTTTCAGAGGAAATGTTGACAGGTTTTAATCGGGATTCTGCCCCATACGCAAAACGAAACTATCATCCTCCGAGCCACCACCTTTTCCAAAAATTGGCATAAATAGAATCTAGACATTGAAAATTGTTTATACAAATCTGTTTCTTCAATAAAATAGGCAGGAAATATCTTCCATGAATAAAGATTTCATGATAGACCGCTGTTGCTAGAAGAATAAATGAAGATCTTTTGAGTCCAAACACTCATTGTATTGCTCTATTCTTGGGCATGATTTGCCACCAGCCCATGAGAGGGGCACATCTTCTTGTTGAGTGGATAATTCTAATGTGTAACAACTTGGATACATTCTTTCTTTCTTTCTTTTACACAGTAAACTCTGTACAGTGGGCTCCTAGTGAGTTTGGTCTAGTCTTGGCTGCAGCCTCATCTGATGGATCAGTCTCGGTCCTTACGCACAATGATGGCAAATGGGATTCACAGAAGGTCAAGGATGCTCATGCTGTAAGACTGATCATTTTTTTTTTCATTGTCTATATATCTTGTTCTCTCTTTCTCTCTCTCTCTCTCTCTCTCTCTCTCTCTCTCTCTCTCTCTCTCTCTCTCTCTCTCTCTCTCCTTTCTCTCTTTCTCCCTTTCTCTCTTTATTCTTTCTCTCTATTTCTCTCCTCTCTTTATGTCATTGTCTATGTCTCTGTCTATCTGTTTCCTGTCTTGTCCTTTCTTTGATCTTTATTTTTGTTTTTACTGTCACACCATGTAATACATAAAACCATAAGTGAACATATATATATATATATATATATATATATATATATATATATATATATATATATCTTAAAGATGTGTAAGCTTTCCAGTTTAAAGTCATTAGATTTTGGATAGGACTTGGAGTGAAATGTTGCATGCAAGAGGTATTTTGTCATTTGCCAATAGCAGGCTTTTTTTTCAAGACAGTTTTTTTTTCTTCTCCAGATAAATCAAAAATAATAAGGAAATACCATGAATTATATACATTATGCATTTACTGATACTGATGATGACCATTAGATTGACTTGCTTATATTTCAGATTGGTTGTAATTCAGTGAGTTGGGCTCCAGCTGTAGAGCCTGGTTCTCTCATTGAACCTCCCACTGGTCAGAAACCAAACCTCGTCAGACGCTTTGTGACCGGAGGATGTGATAATCTTGTCAAAGTCTGGAAGTAAGTCTATTGTATTACTAATTATAGGGAGAAGTGTGTTTGTCAGAGATGTATTTACTTGGTCTGCTCATTGTTTCGGCCTACAAATTGGGTCTGGTGGACTGCAATTAGAAACTGAGTCATGCATTTCAGATGTTGAAGTTAAAGGTCCGTCCTCCATTGGTGTAAATAATCATAGCTAATACATGTCTGTAAAAACCCAATCACACACACACACATTCAATATGCTCAGCTGCGGACTCCTATACTGAAAGTTTGTGGTGTAATTTTTATGCTATTGTATTTCAGACTTAAAGATTTGTTTTCTTTTAAATATTTATCACTTGCAGCATGCAAATGTGTAATGTAAAATGTATTTTGTTCTTCGCAATCGTAGAGTATGTCTTTCAATTCTTGATATGTAAAACAATATTATTTGCATGATGCAGGGAGGAGAATGGGGAGTGGAAGGATGAGCATGTACTGGAGGCACACAGTGACTGGGTACGAGACGTTGCATGGGCGCCCTCTATTGGTCTTCCTCACAGTGTCATAGCAACCTGCTCACAGGACTGTAGGGTTATCATCTGGACCAACGATGAAGGCACCGGTAGTACATGGACACCCAAGGTGAGTTCTTCAGACACTTGGCACTATCATACTGTAGATTCTCCTCTCCCGATTCTTTATTTCGTTTTTTTATTCACCCGTGTGCTAAAAAAGTGTTATTTTTTAAATAGCATAGTAGTTTAACTACTGTAATACAGGAGAGAAAAATATTGTTACAACCTATAAGTAACATATGGGCATTCTCGTCTTTGCAAGTGAAGAAACAATTGAAAATAAAAAGATTTGACTAAATTATTCACAGTACAAATACAAATTACAATTCTTTGTCTTTTTTATGGATTTCAGGCTGTTTACACGCATAACAAACATTATTATGTTATGTTTTATTTTCAGATTCTGAATAAATTTAGTGATGTTGTGTGGCATGTAAGCTGGTCGGTGACTGGTAACATTCTGGCAGTATCAGGGGGAGATAATAAGGTAAGAGACAGATGAATTCAATGAGCTTTAGTGTTGAAGATATTGTCTATTTGGAGTTAGTGCAACTCCCAATACCATTAGTGCAATGGTCAAGTATTTTTAGACTCTAACTGTGGCAACCAGAATATAATACTTTGAACTACAAAAGTTAATCCATGATCAATCTTATTAGAGATGAAGTTAAAACAAATTGAAAACAAAAACAATGTTTGGCAGGAAAGCAATTTTCTTGTAAACTACTTGCCCATCTCTTGATACAAAGAAATGTGCAGCTGTGATAAGTTGCCAATTGGCCAGCTTTGTTTTTATGATTGGGATAGGTACTTTGTATGAAAAATTGTAAAGTATCATTGTGTTCTAAATAGTGGGACATTAGTTCAGCACAATAATGTTAAGAAAAGTATAAACTAGAGTTATTTATGAAGCACCTCCATTACTTTTGAAGTGGTCATTCAAAATGCACAAAGTGGCATCTTTCCATTCTTAAAGATCTGTGAATATTTTGTTTGTAATTGATACTCCAAACTGGTCTATTAATGAAAATAATACATTGTTTCTATCCTTGCACAACACAGGTGAGCTTATGGAAGGAATCACTGGAGGGCCAGTGGGTGTGTGTAAGCGATGTGAACAAGGGAGAAGGTCAGTCTCAAACCACCCAATCACCGGCCATTACAGCTACAGAGCCACAACCTGAACAATGAAAATACTCGCTTTGTAGATAAGATCAATATTGTATAAGCCATTATTTTCATGAGGATTTTATTTGCTTGAATTTCACAAATCATTGTAGGGTAAGGAATTCAACAACACAAAATGCATGTGTGAATATAAAAGTTTTCTGAGCTGGAATTGCAGGTGTGAAGATGTATTGCAAGTGGCATGTGTTGATACCATGAAAAGAAGATCTAGTGTAAATATCTGTTTCCCTGTCATCTGCGGAATAGTCTAGTCATGAAAATATTGGCTTATACAGTAGTCGGTTGAGAACAAGAAGAGAAGGTTCACAAAAGGTAGCGTCTTACAGTTGACCGATCAAAATTGAGGGGTAGGTTCAATATGGTGCTAAACCACTAATATGTCATCACAAGATATACACACTTGAATGTGATGATGATAATGCACATTAATGGGAACTTTTAAGTGGTCTCTGATGTACAATCAGTTTATCATACGAGTATCAATTTGATCACTGGTTGTAGGACAAGTAGGATTATATGATTTACATAATTATTTTCTCAAATTGAACTGACCCTCTTGAAAGGTTTAGTGGTTTGGTGAAAGTTTAAATTTTACATTCCACTAAGATTAATGTAAATCATTACCTTATAGTTTCTAATGTCATATACACTGTGATATGAAAGAAATCAGTGATGGTATATTCATCTCAAAGAGGTTGAACCTTAGAGCTATGATTAAAGGTTAAGAAATTAAATTGATATCTGAAACCGTTGAAACCACCTTTGCAGTCGTGTCAAACCTCAAGCTGCTTTTCAATGCTATTCAATTAATAGAATCTGTTTTGAAAATACAAGTGGATATATAAATCTAGAGGAAATAAACTTGAAACTTTTTAAGGTATTTCTTGGCCATGTAAGCTGTAAAAATTGTTTAGAGGATTGCTTTTATTACCTTCTTGTTCTCAACCGATGTTTTATTTTGTCAGAGTTAAATGGGCACTAATGCAGTATACATTGTACAAACAATAGTGCAGTTTATGCCCTTTAGCCCTGCCACTGATGTCTGTTGTTCTCTCTTTGTCGTTTGTCATTTATTTCTTTGTGTTGTTCGTTTCTTTTTATACTATAGAATTTCACTCTGTGTTAGATCTTAATAATGCTCTACGAAATATAGATTCTTTTAAAATGTTTAAAATATTACATTATCTGTAATGGTCCAATAGATCCTCAATTATGATAGCCTGTCAAAATGTTATGCTTTTGTCTTTATGAATTTTGTCAAGGTTGTTTCATATAAAGTAAATTTGAATACAAATCTTCAGATACTCTTGTAAGATATCGTCAAATTTTGACTACTTTTGACACTATGGTGCCATATATTCTAAAAGTGAAGACCTCAGATGGATTAAAGTGCTTGTATTTATTTATGTAACTACATAACTTCTCAACATATTTCAATTCCTCCCAAGCCTAATTGTTAAAGGGGTATATTTCAAATATATTAATGAAAGAATTCTTGTATTTCTTGCCATTCACTTTTTTCTATGGCAAATTCAAGTTTGAGAAAAGTATGATGTAACTTATGCTCGTTTTCAGCTTACATTCCATATTGAAAGTGTTTCAACAGTGTAAAATTTATTTTGAATTTATAAGTATGGGTTATGAGGAGTCCCTTTAAAGGGTAATATCAAGCATATAAATAATAATTCATAACAGACTTTTCAGTTTTAGGTTTTTTCTTCTTCTAACTTAGTTGATTTTAATGAAATATATTTATGTGTCCGTGGCAAGCATCAGACAACTTATGTATAATTCCTTCAAATTTACTTAAATATTGGATATGTGTATTCCTACATCTCTCTAAACATATATTTGTTTTTTTAGTTTCTGATGTACACTACATTTTTTGTTCATACATATTTGTTACTCCAGTTGAAAGAACAAAATTCAGGTCTCTAAATAGACAAAAAGAGCTATATGACAAGTATGGCACGTCTATTCATAGGCGAGTATGAATTGTTCCCATATTTCTTTTGTTATTTTGATTTAATTTGTCCTTTCCTAGTGACCATTATTAAGTACATGCAGAATAAATACATATTTGTAAATATAATTATTTGATGTGTGATGTTTATATTTTCTTAATTACCTGTTGAGAAAAAACGGCTTAAAGGGATTGGGTAACTTTGCCTCAGATTCTTACCAAAAAAATCGTGGATTTTGCTCATACTGCAATCATAGGTATAAACCTTCAGGTCATACATGAATCCCATGACTTTTACAAGCCATTCGCCTGTTTGATTATATCTAGGATAGGAATAAGAAATTTCAGAATTTGTTTTCCTAACATTTTTAATAACACTACAGGCTAGTGACTGGGGAAAATGAGTATGGTAAAACCGGTCACTCAAAGATTTTTACTTTTTTGAGGCACTTCATGATCATTTTGAAGCGCATTTTTTTAGGGCTTCAATATTACAACATATCGCAGACACTGAAAACACATAGGGCCGTGCATCTCAGATTTAAACGATGCCTTTAGAGATGGCCAAGGGCTATTGAGCCGTTTCTCCCTATGACTTTGTAAAAAAAACTCTCCACAAGACTCATACATAAAAAAGAAACAGGAATGGTATATTTCAATTTTTGACAAGAATGACTGCATTTTTTTAATTCTCAGTTTTTTATCTTACATCTACAGCAAGCTAAGCAAGACAAGTGAACAACCGACAGTCCAAAAAGATGTGACTACATTTGAACATATCTTCCATAGAGACTACAAGAGCACAGTGTACAGTCATTGGTTAGCTAATCAATGTTCTACAGGGTTTATGATCAACACAAGGAATACAAAGTCATTTCTCTTTTTAAGACACAACATTGGTTAAACTTAAATTCAACAATAAATGTTAATCCAATGATCCTTGTTTTGTGAAAACATCAGTCATATTTTTAAGACACACATTATAACAGTATTAAAAACAGGTGCTCATAAAGGCTGACCAAAGTGTTGCTTTTTTTATAGATTTCTTATTGGAAGAAGAATGTGAACGGAAGAAAGATGACAATCATCTTCAAATGATAAGTTTTTCAATTTTACTATACAGAAAAGGATAAATGGCTACAATCTGTAAACAAAAACAAATTGTATGCCAAATTATTCTTTGCAATGTGCAAGGGCCTTTGTTACTATCTTTTAAAAGGAAGAAAGTGGTGTTTAAATCTTGCATGTCTATCTATAATTATCTTTATCAACTCCCCTATCTAAAAGTGCGAATGCATGTTTGTGCATGGTGGAGAGAGAAAAAAAGAAGATATGGTCAGCTTGGACTCTGAACAGAAGATATCTATTCAATTCTACAGTGATGTCTTGCTACTTAACTTATTAACTTCTAATGAATACAAACGTTGACATCAAACTTATTTTCTGGGCAAAAATGTAACAAATAAGAACATAAAGAAAGAAAGAGTGAAATGCAGGAAGCCTAACTTGGATGCTCACTGAGTCATTTTGAATGGAAGATAACAAAATTGCATAATTCAAATCATATTTTCAGAAGAAATCACAAATTACATTCGAGTATTAAATCATTTTAAGCATTTAAAATGACAAAAGAGAAATACAAACAAAATTCATATTCAAATGCAAATAATAAAGATTTGAAAACTGTTCTATTCACTATTCAATTTCTTATCCTCCTTTATCAAATATTGTCTTCTTCAAATTCAGTGTCGTACAGTATTCGTCCTCCATTAGGTGTCTTGTGACTTACGGTATACATTTAAGCATCTTTCTTTTATCTTACAAAATGCAGCCGATGCTATAACATCTGCACATAGAATACAAATATTTCTTGACATTTACAATACATTCATTTAAAACCAATATTTACAAGCACATGTACCAAATATAAGTACACATCATGATCATTGTATTTTGAAAGAGGAAATCTTAGTACCATTAATTATTTAGTAATCTGTTACACAGCACAAGGTATCAAAACTCAAAAGTCGTAGCACGACCATATAAAAACAAAAGAAAAACGGTAGAATTGCAACAAATAATGATCAATTCTGTGAAAGAAATATTTCACACAGTAGAGACTAAGTGGTAAAAACGTCGCTGAAATTTAAAGAGTAAACAGAGACGAAATAATTGGGACCTTATAATTAAGTACAGAGTGAATCCAGACACTGTAATACTTCCAACATTCCCTGTTTTGTATCTGTCACCTAAAACGTGTCCTACCCAATATGGCTCTTTTACAGTTTTATTATATTACTGCAGAAAATCTGGTCGTTAATTTCCAACAAAAAGTGGTTTGGCATCTAAGAAATTTCAGAAAGGGAAGACCATATTAGTAGTCCCCCCGACACCATGAATACGGAACAACCAACAGAAAATTATTTCACAGATTCATATTTATTCTTGTGCAATTCTGCATCACATGCAGCTTTCTGGAATTATGCAAAGCAGACATCAATAAAGGTGACACAAGGGACATTTGGTTCTATTTTTTTTACAGCTGTGCTGGCATTATTAAATGGTCTATTGCCTTAAAATACGAAGTCTTTGGCCATTTTTCTTGCAAAATAATACAAATTTATACAAATCATTTCCATTGTTGTGAATACAGGGAAAGGTGAATATTTATTCTATCTATCTAAAAAATAAATTTCAACAGGAGAAATAAGCTACTTTTAGATATATAATTACACAAATCAGGAGTGGTAGAAACTCATGAAGATCTTGCTATATAATCTGATACGGTCTCTTCCATTACTTTCAACATTAGAAATTCAATATATCTTTTTAAGAAATGTGCTAACCAAAATATACAAATACTTTAAACATGGCAAGGCATTTTATACAACAAAATGATCATTATCAGGGTAGCTAGTGCGATAATTCATACCTAGTTCAAACACACATGATTACATAAGAATGTTTATAGCAAAAATAGTAATAATAAAAAAAACAATAAAGACAGACAAAAATCAAAGAAAATGCTGCTTAGCAGTGATTTTGAAGAAACACACACATTTTAAAAGAAATCAATTTTGTACAAGCATTGCAAGAGTAAAACATCACTGAATCATGATGGATGAAATAATCATTTAACTGTATAGATAACATCAACTTATTTGCATCACTGATTATTTTATTGGATAATTACATTTTTATGTTTTTTGACAGACCTGCTTTTTTGACATTTTGAGGCTTGATATTCTCAACACAACTAAAGCTGTGCACATTCTTCATTAAAAAAAAACTGAATCCTTGATGTAGATGACGCCAGGAAGTGGCCAAACTCAGCCATGGTTTTCAATTCTGGTCACTATGTTTTTTTTGCTTTCATTGATTCCCATGTGGTATGGTACACAAGACAGATGATTAACTTGAATAAATTTACACGTGGCAGAAAGATCTTTCCTCATGATCAACTTGTACTTCTTATATTAAGAGAACTTTTCTTAACTAGTACTGTACAAATAATTTACATATCACTTCGCGTACTTGTCAGAAATTTGATGGACATGGTTATTTCATTTCGTACTATCAAAAAAGCATACATTTAGAGAAATCAATATATCTTAATAAATTACTCATTAAATTCATTCAAATATCAAAAGATTTCAGATCAAATCATAGACACCCTCTTGAAAGAAAGAAACAAAATCTTTCAATAAGTGACATTTAAAAATATTCAATGCCACTTATTCTTATCATAGTACAATTTACATGCATTTCATATAGACATCATTTGCACATGGTTTACAACAGTTATATTTGAGCAAATACAGGCTAAATACACAAGTAAGAAAACTGTACACTTTGATATCAACTTTCAAGAGTGATTCACTCTCGGTTAAAATATTCCAGTTTGTCCTCGGTTCGGAACTTCTAAATTAGCCTATCTGTACAAGTAGATTTGCAATAGCCCCCTCGTTGGTTGAAAATTTTATACTCCATCAACTGCGGTTTGTCAGCGGTTACTACTGTCATACAGATGTCTCGTTGCTGCTGCCACCACTGTTTAGGGGGAAGGGAGGGAGGGAGGGGAAGGGGGTAAAATAAGGAAAGACAAAAAAACAAAAATAAACTTATAAATACAAATAATAATCATGCAAACATAACAAAATGGAAACAAAAATTGAAATGAAAAAGCAAAGTAAAAAATTTCATAGGTGCTTTAAATACAAATATTAAATAACAATAACAAAATAAAGAATATTTGAGGTATAGGCAAATTTATTTGTCTTTCTTTTTCTTTTACAAATAGATAAGGACTGATAATTTTTTTATTTCATATGCTGGAAGAGTGTGTCTATTGTCTTCTTGAGTAGATAATATTGAAGAAGATGCAATCATGCAATGTTAAGTATGAAAGGCTGCAGCATGCACAGAATAATGTTGATGGAATGAATATGAGTTAACATTGTCTATTACAAAAAGAAGTTTTGCCTTAATATACAAGTAGCTTGCAATTGAAGTACCGGTACTTGTAAAATGGCATGTTTAGGTTTTCCACGCATTGTACAGATTACAAAGTACAAACTAAATCCTTACAATAGAATTTGAGAGTTCATGTACTTTTGTATAACTTACAGTGTAGCAGGGTGAAGTGCATAACTATTCCTTCAGATTTCAATAAATTAATTAAAAAATATGGTGAATGAATTGTGTTCTACATGTCATCCATAGCCTCTCCTTAGCACACCAGAGAACAGCATAGGAAATTAAACAAACAAACACTATCTGATTTGAATATCAAGTGTTAATTTAGGGCTCATTGCAAAAGAAAAAAATGCACAGCAAAATGTTGTCTAAAGAATGAGAAATTCAAAATTTGAACACAATTAACCTTTAAATGATATGATTACTTATGCTCTATCTTGTAAATAGTGAAGAAAAATAGGCTGTAATTATCAAACCTCAAAAATACTTCTATGCAATTCATTTATAAGGAAAATAGTAGAGAAACTGAGATGGTGCATTGTTAGGAATAATTCCTACTGGCCATAAACCTTGCCACAAACCATTTTTTTCATGAACCTTAATGATTGCAAAATTTTCAAGATGATATTTCATCAAGTTATACATTCAACTTTGAGTTCCAATAAAAATAATAGATTAGGAAGGCAAAACTGCAAAATGAATAAAGAAAAAGCTCACCAAAATCAATGACAGAAAGAAAAAAATATTCCTCCCAAATATCTATCATAAGAATGAATTGCAAACCCAATGAATACCACTGCAAACTAAAAAAAAGAAAAAGTCATTTTATCTGCAAACTACACCCTCAAATGATGCGCAATTGAGTATTGAGTTAGTATGTCAAGGGGAATATCCCTATGCTACTTACGAGGTTATATCAACATAACTGGAGAAATAATGAGAACAAAAGGAACAAAAACAAAACAAAGGTCAAATCATGCTGTGATTAACACATTCAAATATTAAAAGGCACAGGATAACATAATTAAAAATGCAATAATCAATATTAGGAAATAAACAAGTCTCATTGGTATCAAAGAAACTGCAGATTAAAATTAAAAAGGAGATGGGGGGGAGGGAGCATTGCTCTTTGTAAATTCCTTTGAGTTGTGATGATGATCGTGATGAATTTAATCGATGACAAATACAATTGTCAATATTCATTTTTTTTTGTCTCTAAAGAAAAAACAAATATTTAGATTTTTCACAAAATAAAAATACCTTTCACAGAACTATTTCAAGAAAAGATAATATGTAGTACTTGTTCATTATAAGATAGCAAGTTGCAGGGTAGGAATATGATACTATTCTGTGCCTTGGGGTGTATCGACAAGCTTTCAGGCATACATACATACATGTGAAATAGGGTAGGATACAAGGGGCTACATGCAAGGGATTTGATAAAACTGCACCCTGACTTAACTGTTTATAAGCAGACAGTTCATTTCTCTCTATTAGAAAAGAGAAACAGACAGAGGCAACTGTAATTAGTAAAATGGTTTAATGCTCAGGACTAAATTTTGTTTCGCTACTAGCATTTTGTCACAACTTACATCCCCTGTGTTTATGTACCAACCTAATAAACATAAATGGCCTTTTGTGTGAGGAACCACATAGAGTCTACCTGATATGATATTCTCTTTTAATTTGCATAAAAACATAAAAATTGTGAATGAGAAAGATGGGGTAACTTTTTTGACTAGGTGTCAGTAGTGGATCCAAATTTCTGATGCTGGGGAGGAGGGCACAAGTGAAAAATATATCTAGGCAAAAGAAAACAGTTACCACACTTTTCAGGTACCTTTTTTGATCTAAAATATGTGCTAGGTAGCACAAGAATACATTTCCCCCTGATGGAGCTTCCCCAGGACTTATCTTTCATTTGCTTCATAAGTCAGAGATTGCCAGTCCCCTAAAAGTGCAGTTAAAGTGGCTTTCTGCATATTACACTACATTCTTCAATCCAGGGCAGTTATACAGTTTAGGACATATACGTGTAGATGTCATGAGTTGCAATTTGCCTCAATGCCTATGAATATTAATCACTTAGATATTGCACGAAGATTGGTGCATTGGAGAAATAGTAAAGAATTCTCTTTTTCGTCTCTGAAAACATTAGTTATAGTGCACTTTGATACAAGATCACAAAAATCACTGTTACACGACATCACAATACACAGGCAATATTCATAGTAGTAGACAGATGTAGTTCATGCCTCTAGTACAAGTTTGAGGTATAATAATTGATACAACAGATTCTAGTCGGTGACAGTGTTAGAGAATTAAATGAGACAATTCAGATGTATTTCGCTGTGAAAGCTAATGCGCTGTGTATCTTTCATTTCATTCATAGTTTCATGATTTTTTTTTACATGTATACAATATATATCTTCAAAATGTAGCAGTCACAAATTTCACAATGACACCAAACCACAACACATTGTCACGTTTCTTTCTTTTTCTTTTTTACAATTTGTTTTTTGCAATACATGTAGGTTGTTGATTCAACATTTCAAATTTGTCATTAAAGCACCATAAATTAATAATCAATAGTTCATTATCAAGCCGTCAAAAACTTAAATCAAACCCATCTATAAATATGTTCAATTGAAAAAGTTGTAAGTACGCAGAGCATGTAAATGACTGAATAGTAACAGCACAAACACACACACTTAAAAAACAAGACATCCTCTGTAATTACACATCATAATATTTTGTTTCTTTCCATCATACTACTGGTAGTATAATGCACTCCTCCTTGTCCACACACTGCCTCTATATATACCCTTCTGCTCAAAAGTCTTATTTACATCCGCCCGTCTTGCCTTCTTCATTCCCTTCTCCCTTAACAACATTCAAATTGATGGCTGAATGGTTTAAGGCATCCATTCACTGGGATAATCCCTTCCATTAAAGACAATAGAACTGGATTTATTCCATAAAATTCTTATCTTGAGGCAAAACACCAAGTGATTAAATTGTATGCTATTCCCTGTTCCTGCCATCATATTTTGGGGTATTTACGAGTCCTAACTATTCAGCATATTTTGTTATATTTATGAGTCCTCTACAATGCAGCATATTAAAGGATTCCGTTATTATATGAATAAAAACTTATTAAGTTAGAAGTACTTCTAATCTAAATACCAAATACATGTGAATGTTTTGGAGAACCATATATGTAATATACAACAGATATGTCTATTAAATTCCTTTGATTCATCATAAAGACAGGTAGAGTTTCTTCGACTTCAACTTTGTGGGGAAAGGGTTCTTATCCTTATTAAAGAGAACTCTTGACCTTTTTCAATCTGGTATGTATTTATGTGCAACTACCTTTCCCTACACTACCTACATTGTAAGATCTGGATAAAGCCCCTAGATCCTAGTCAAGGTCAAATTACTATTCCTCAGAGTACTAAAGTTATTGAAGGTCTGTCCACATATGCTGCTGCTGCCATGGGTTGTTATTCATGTAGTACACTTACAACCATGGCAGCTTACTAAGCATATATGTGAACAAACCTTAAGTCGAGAATTAGGGCTTATAAAGTGATCAAGAAAGAGATTGATTTTGAAATAGAAACTAGAAAGAGGCAATTTAAAGATCAGTGACAGGCACGCACTCTGAATCGTTGTCGCCCTGACCGCCAGCGGGTCGGACGGTCAGCTTGTCCTGGTGTCCGATGACATCGGCCGGAATCTTGGCCAGGCTACTATGTGAGCTGCTAGAGGTGTTGGGTGAGCCCTTGTGGGAGCTACCAGGGGTCTTCATGATACCCTTCAAGGGCAGGATGTCGGGACGCTGGGAGACGGCAGGTAGGTGTGTCCGGCTTCCTGTAGGGTGGGTGGATGGGTCGGTGGAGAGGATATGGTATACACATGAAGGTGGAGTTTAACTAATGGTAACATGAATTAAAAACATGGCAAACCATATCATGTACAATTTTAAAATATGAAGGCAGGAACATAATAATGAATTCTGAAACTTCCAAATAAAATGAAATCAATTTTAAAGATATACATTGTATGCAGCAATTATCAAGATAAAAAATAGTCCTGCAAAAAAATAATTTGCAAAATGTACATGTATATGCTGTGAGAGGGGAAATGAAAAGAAAGCTGTTGCTTTTTCCTTTTATCAATACATGGACACAGATTAATCTGGCATTCTTGAAGTGTAATTTTCTCTAGCTTTATAACCAGTGAGTATGTCTTTATTATATTACATGTTTACAGTACATGTATATGACAAAATGAAGAGGAAAAATAACTTTGGTGATCTATAATGAAATTTTCTACCCTTATTTTATCATTTGACTGTTTTGTCAAACTTTCACAAAAATTTCACAAGGCAAAATTCTATTAATTGGTTTAACCTCAAGAGTTTTTCAAAGTACAGGTTACATATAAAGTGTCCTGACTAACCTGACACACTGCCACTGTATTGGCTCCCTTCTCTATCACTCTCTGGGGGAGGGAGCTTGGGATCTAATATCTTAAGCTCTGCTCTATGTCTTGTCTCATTATCACTTGTTAAGATATCCCCAGAATAGATTTTCTTGTGAAGCATTTCTGGTGAAGGTTTTACTGCACAAAAGGTAAAGAAACAGGTGAACTCATATAATAAAATTATAAAATCAGAGATTTTGAATAGAATTTTAAACATAATGCTACATAAAATGAAGAAATTAATACTTGAAGCACAAATAAAGTATGTAATGTCAAAGATAAAGTTTTTCTTTTGCTAAGTTACATTAGAGAACTCTCAAAGACCATGCTAACCTATCACTGACAATCCTTACTTAAAGTAAAAATCCTGACAATCACAATTTATCGCATTATCAGCTTTCTCTTCATAACTGATATAATCATTTCACCCTTATCACTATATCACAATCAATATCATCTAAAGCATTGCATTCACTAATGTATCATTTCTAACATCATCATCACTTATATTACTAATACAATCTTAGTCACAATATTTTCACAATATCATTATCATCAGCTTTATCAATCATCCCATTACCGTCATCACCATCAAACCATTGGAATACACTTACCTTTAGGTGTGCTATGGACCGGTGCTATCACAGTTTGAGGAATATTATCTGAAATGAGAAAAATAAGACCCATCTCAAAAAGCAAGCTCATACAAATTACAATGCAAACAAGTCCCATTACTGCCATGCGTGATATACATATAGGAGGTGCACACTGAAGTTTTTATTCAAATTACTGGTCAATCCTCTGTTAGCTTATTCAATTTGGTCTAAATATATATATATAAGGTCTAAATAAATAAATATATATATAAAACAAATATATATATATATATTGCAATTTGTTATAGAAATGAAACAGAAAAGCACAAAGTTAGCCATGTGATACATGTAAAGCATTCTTCACATTTTTCAATTTTAATGTGAACATATCATACAAGTTTTTAAGTGAAATTAATCTTTTTATAAATTCACAATTTCGGTTTAGATCCTGCTTTAAAATACTTGGAATAATTTAATCTGATAATTCTCTGATGACAGTCTAATCCTCTTTGACACAATAAAGGCCTTGTTATATCAACCACCACTGGGGTACCCTGCCTCTCTGAAATACTGAGACATTTTCCAAATGTTTGCCTCACCTGGTAAATTGACTTTCTTGGGTGTACTCTTCCACTGTTCTTTATTAGGAAGGGGAGCCAACTCCTCATCATCTGAAGAGTGAGATGAAGCTAGGGACATACTGTCTCTCTGACGCTGAACGGATGCATCGCTGTCAGAATCAGAGTCGTTATCTGAGGATGAAAACAAAACACAAGATTAACATTATTTTCAAGGGGGCATGGGCATGAAGGAGGTACATGAAGAATAAAGGGGAAGGGAGATGGGTCAAGGGAATTGGAAGCGTGAAAGGAAGGAGGAAATACCTGGGTTGGGGACTTTAATGACATGAGTAATCATCTTAGTTCACAAGGCATTTCAGGCATTTCAGAACAATACCATCTTCTAACCTTCTGAGAATGTTGTCAATGTGCCTGACATAGCAACATATATAATGATAATAGGCTACAGATACAAAAATTTATTGTACATATAGAATGTTAAAGCATTCAGATCAAGATATCTCAAGGGTAAGTGTAAGTATTGCTTCTTTTTTTTTTTTGTGCATGGAAAGCAAGGGGGCAAGGTTGGTAACATGTATGTGAAGTGAAATAATGTAACACAAGAAATACAAAAAGAAGAAGAAAAAAAAAACGTAGAAGTACATGTATTAGTTTTTACTACATGTTCATTAAAATTGAATTGAAGATAAGTCCAGAGAGAAAAGTTGTAAAACAAAAGTAGCTGAAAAGTTATACTGTGTATTACAGGTCATATAATGCACAAAGTACCTTCAGATAAAAAAACAAAACAAAACAAAACCCAAACATAACAAAAACAGGTAGGTCCCTGACATTAGGGAACTAAATTAAATAGATAGGTTAAGTTGATCATTGTAGTCATCATTCCTAGTTTCAAACTATTCCTCCTATCTAATATTTGGACAAGGGGAATATACATGCAAGTTAAGAAAACATTCTGCTTTTAAACTTTTTGAAACCATTTGGGTACAAGCGTTTGATTTTGGAGAACATGGGACATGTAAAAATCTTAACCGTGTGATTTAGATCATAACATTACAAACACAAAGGCAAACATACAACAACAAAAATTGAATTTATATACACACACAGACAAAATCTTCATATATTTCTCTCAAATTACTAATATATAATATAAGACTTATTTTTCTTGTTATATGAAAATCATTATTCAAAAGAGAACAAAACTGGAAATAGAACCATATAGTCTATGATAAAAGAAATTGATTTTCTTGATGCTTTTATACATGTGTTGATAAATTATGAAATACACATGTTTTAAATTGCACTAGTTGATATACATGCTTTAATATACAAGAAATCATAGATGAGACATTGAATTGGGCAAAACATTAATAACAGAAATCAGTTGGAATGAAATAAGAATGGGTGTTCGCTTTGGAGGCTGTAATGAAAATACAGATTTGATACCACCCATGCAAATTACCGGTACACTACAATTTGTTTTAATTTACTCCATAAGTTTTGCTAGGTGCTACCTAAAAGCTGTACACATAATTATTCATACATTTTTTCCCCAATTTTTATATGATAGTTGAGACATGTAAAATCCCAATGATTTAGAGGCTGTAATCTATTTTGAAATGTAGAAACCCTCTCAATTATCTTCATATGACAGCCAGATAATATAAATAGCTCGGACATTAATTAGATGATAACATAATTTCCACTGCGCAATTAACATCAACATATGCATGCAACTATTTAATAGTGTAACATTTTAGTTTTGAAAATTGTACTCTAGATTACATTCATCCATACTATTACAGTAAACAAAAGTAAACCATGATTGAAAATGAATGGTCAATAATAGTACATCAAATACAAAAATAAATCAAAGAAAAACAAGTGGAGTGACTGAAAAGGAATTTTGTGTGTGAGATAAGTGACAAGGGGAACATATTAGAGATGGAATACTGCTAAAATTATATCAAAGCATAAACAAATGAAGTCACATGTATCTCATGACTGAGTATAAAATCATAGAAAGGAAGAAGAAAACGTTCTGCAGTGGGAGCGGGCTGGAGCACAGACTTAGCTGACGACAACCACGGATATGGCGAGAGCTATCTTACCGCGACGTTTCCGCCTACGAGGGTTAGTATGAAAGCTGCCTGAGGATGGTGTTCGGTTAGCGACGCTATAATCGTAGTCCCAATCTGATGGAGTGCGATGAATGAATGCAATCCAGGCAAGTACATATATATTGTTAAAATTTGTTTACAAATATTGGAATTTAAGATCTATTAGTATCTATTAGTATGCATGAATCACATATGAAGTGATATATGAAAAAGGATAGGTGGAGAAGGTTTACTATGAGTCACTGTTATGAAGAATAAAGGATTAATGTTTCAAGCTTCAATCTTAAAACTATTCCACATGCAACCATGTTTTTCCATTTTCCTACAAACCCACTTGCCCTCTAGTGGAAGAAAATACAATTGGTGCCCCCCCCCCCTGGGCCCCCCCCCCCCCCTGGGCCCCCCCCCCCCCCAAGAAATCACATTCTAATTTATGCTCTATTTATTGGGTGTTTGGAACAGTTTTTTTGTTTTAATGTCTCAGATGTGATAAATAGGTTTGTTCTTTAAACACCCAATGTAAGTAGGGATGAAACTCAACCAGCTTTCAACCTTGTTCTTTCAAATAGGAAGCATTAAATATTTATTTGAATATAGATGGTTAATTTACAATAGATGTGCAATCAATCACTCAGTAAAGTCATCAGTAATTGGCACAATAACTTCATGAGGAAAGGGACACGAAAGAACAACATTTCATTCATGTTTGTGAGATAACAATTTGAATGGGTAATATGAGAAGATGTTAAGCATATTCATCTTCACTGTCATTATGAATTTATTACTGACAGACAAATGAACATAGACATATCACAGGCACATGACATTTACAGGAACATATACATATAGCTGTCAATAAAATGATGTACATGCACTCGATATCTGGTTAATTACACAAGCTCATAACTCATGAAAAGGACAAGGGGGTATTTAAACTTATCAATCTACAGAAGTTTCATTTCATCAAGGCGTTATACTATTGTGACTTTAATAACAGTGCTTACAATATGATCTCAATTGTGTTAATTTTGGGACATCCAGTGCCATACAGTTGATTTGCATTCCACAAACGGCCCATTAAATCTCTCAAAAGAGTTTACTTACATGGTAAGGCAGGCCATTCCTTTGGAAAGGTATACACTGCTTCTATAAAACACCAAGTATAATTCAATACCCCAAAATTGTGAATTACTACAGAACTTCAATTATTCAAAAGCTTTTAGAATAGGGCTTTGCAGCTCAAACAGGATACTCCCAAACTGACCGACTAGAATGAAAAAAATATCAAGCCTCTTGGTAAAAGTATGATAAAGGACTTCACATTGAAACAGTAAGGAAAAATAAAATCAACTAAATACATGAATTAAACATAAAAAATAAACACAAAATGATACTATACATTAATAATCTAAAATATATACTTAATATTTAGTTATGTGTATCAGGAAAGCTAGATTCTGTTTCAATTTTCAATTGAAAAGTTGAAAGGAATTCACATTCATTGTTTATGACAGATGTTACTGTCAATGCAATAACTGCAAGTTGAATCACAAATCACTTTACAAGTACAAAAGGACCTTTATATTGGACCTTCATATTATACTTTCTACATAGACTCACATATCTAGGGGAGAAAAGACAATTTAGATAACACTCAGACTCACAAATAAAGAAAAATAATCCTTATGAAGCCGTAAAATTCATGAGTCAAATAAAAATTAGAAAGTTCTTATCTGAGAAGAGAATAATCAAAGAATAATCATAGATAACATCAATAAAATAATTATTGAAAAAGTCAATGGTTTAATGGCATCTCAGAGATAAGAAGAAAGATCCATCATTCAGGGAGAAAATAGATTTAAGAACATTAGTTGGAACATTTGAAAGCACAAACAAACAGAAACAGGATATACAGACAGAACAACAAACACACTACAGACAGAATGAGATGTCTCACCTAATACATTCATAACAGGATTGGTGTGTCCCATCATACCCATATGAGCTGCTGTGTGTAGAGAATGAATGTGTGGAACAAGAAGCGAAGGACAAAAGCATGCTGTTAGCTCTTCATACATGATGTATACTGCCATTGCTTCTCTAATAAAGCTTGCAATTAGTTTTCCATTAATATTGTACTTTATTCTATTTTCTATGCAGCAGCAGCACTGGAATAATTTGTATATAAGAAGGACTGTATATCAAAACATTAAGCTGCTCTCTCTTTAAACATGTCATCAGTATGTGTCCCATTAAAGGTTTAATTGATTTGAATCCCCTCAAATGAATTTGATTAATACACGGCAATATCCCTGTCCAGAATCAGTCTACCTTCTTCATATATTTACATGAATTTAGTTTGACTAACTTTAGAAATACCTCTATAATATGATATATAGGAGGGTTATATTAGTAATATATATTTCATGCAGTTAAGTTTTCTTGTTTGATTTTTAAGCTGAAACAGTAACAGAATAGCTGAAACATGTTAGAAAGAAGTGAATACTTATATAATACATATATTATACACATGTGTTTTTTTCTTCAATCAAGTCAAATTTCATGTACTATGCCATTTACATTTTTTTACAATGAAATTCACTGTATACCTATTTTTTTAAATAAAAAGGCAAGGACTTTATAAATTTGTCCCAATATTTACAAAAATATGTTTAGAACATGAAAAGTTGGCAGGTTGGTTGGGTTAATGCATAATAACATAAAAGCAGCACAGGAAGCAATGGGGATTATGGGTAATCAATCTACATTCATGATTAGTTCAAGGCATTTATACTATGATTTGTATCTAGTAGATGATGATAGTGATGTTGATGATAGTGATGTTGAGAATGGCTTCTTGTATGATGCCATGTATATATATCTCCGAAGGATGCTCATGGAATTCCTCTTAAAATGTGTCTCACAAAATATAATTTTCAAAGATGACTGGCAATAATCCATCAACTACTAGATGTATCTGAATATTCTATATGATGATGAATTCATCAAGTACTACGACATTCAATTTTTTTTTATGAAGATGGTGAATTTCATGCATTCTTTTGAAAGTCACAAAACAAATGGCTTTTATCAGTACTCGTGCAGAAATATTATGAAATGAGTCACCAACATTTTGAACTTGTGATAGTAAAGATGATTACAAAAAAGTATATGAATGAACAAACTTACCATCTAAATTTGTTTCTGCATTATTTTTGTAGTATGACGGCACATAGTCAAAATGGTTAGAGGGGGAAGTGGTGGTCGTGCTGGCCGTCTTGCGCAGGTAGCCATCGGGTCGGTAAGTATGGGGATTGATACTCAGCTTCGATGAACGGCTACTTGCACCTACCGACGCTGTCGATATGCCAATGTTGTATCTGCCTGGCGTGCCAACGGAATCGTTTTTACTGTACGTCAGTGCAGATCGCTTTGAGAAGAAATATAAAATAGTTGAGTTAATCTTTAATCCTAAGGTATTTAAAATCCAAATAAACAAATTGCTTTCACTATCTATGTATTTGTTTATTTTACTGTATGAAAATTTAGAACTTTATATCATAACATATCTTTAATATTTATAAAGCTTGATATAGAATGCAATTTCAAGTAACAGGAATTAGTAAATAAATAACCCATTTTCAGAAAGAATACAGGTATTCTATCCGTTCATATTTCATCACTTTTATACTCTATACTCATGACAGTAGGTGATTTAACAATATATTATTACTCTGGTACAAATCTTAAGAAAATAATGAATTTATACAGACAGTTCAACAATATTATTACTTTCTAGAGTATAAATTTTGATATCTTTGTTAATTAATGCAAATAAATTAATAATACATTTACTTCCCAAGGTACACATTTTAAAAGAACTTACCGAGTTTGTGCTAGTATTAATTTCTGGTTTGTATTGTTTTCCTTGCATCCTGTGGCAACATCTACACCACTCGTTCCGTACCTGAAAACAAAGAAAATGTAATCAATGTAAAATCTCTTGTAAAACTTAATTCTTATCAGCAGGTTCATTATGTTGTAAGATGAAAAGTCCAATACAACCGTTGATTTATTTTCCTTCTGATTAAGGTATGGCATTCACCCTGATTAAAAACTAAATTAGTGTTGAAATCTTGAAACATATCTTTCATGCATGTAATTCACTGATAATTACCTTTGAAAAAATACTGTTGTAGATGTACACAAATTCTACAAAGTACCCTCCAAAAATACATAAAGTTTTAGAAAAAAAGACAAATTTGGAAGTTTTAGGTTTACATTTTCAAATAAATTTTACAAACTCTAATTTTCAAGGCGAAACAAAATTCTGTAAATAAACTGTACCAAATTCATCTGTTGTTTAAGATGAATAAATATGTTGATCTGAGAAAAAAATAAATGAAACTACATTACCCTATAATCCAGACCACAGTGGAATAGGAGTATAGCTAGTCCTGTGATGCTATTAAAGATAGCAAAGAGATACTGGTAGATGATGAGAGTTTGATTGACAGCAAGCAAACCAAACACCCATGTGATGCCAAGCAGAGGTAGAAGGATGCCGGCTGATCGGATACCAGACCTGGTGTGAAAGAGAGGGATCATAACATTACATAATTAGGGAGGAAATCATAACCAACTGCAGGAGAACTGATGAATTACAGCTAATTTTGAAAGCAAGTGTAAAAAAAAATTATTCAAAACATGGACAGGCGTTTTCTTTGTAATGACCCAATATTATATGAATGCTCTCAAGGCAAAACCTTGCCAGTACAGTCTTGAATCATTACGCTTATATATTTCAGCTTGTGGTTGGTTCAATCAAAAGGTCTGAACAAGTAACCTTGTGAATGGGGTAACACATATTTATTGCATAATATTAAGAATGTAAAATAAGAAAAGTATAGTACATGTTTTTAAAAAAATCCATGTCGCATCTATTGAGAGGATTCCACTGTTAAACAGCATTTGGGGAAAGGAAAATATATGGAACATACATGTCATGTGCCAGGCTTTTCTTTTCTTTTCTTTTTTTTGTATGCAATAAAATTTCCTTGTAATGTCCCAACTAAATAAGAATTAATATTTTTTCTTGAATTTGTTCTTTCTCAGGGAAGTCCTGTTATTAAAATAAATGATGAAAAAGACAAAGAAAATAAACATATAAACAAACTAAAACACGCATACAATGTTTGACAATTTGTTATGAAAGAGAACCTACTCTCTAATCAAGGAATCTGCTGGTACCTATATATAAAAGGGCTAAAAAAATGTGCCTCGGTTTTAATGACTAAAATCTATTTTCTACATGAACTTAATCACTTAATCATTTCACTTCTTTCAAAATTCTTAAGTGTTGTCAAAGAAGCACATTGGTAATTATTTTATTGATGCTTATAAATGTTTGTCCCTTTTTATGAAAGTTAAAAATATACTTTATTATTGATCAAAATATGATTACTCTGAACTTAGAAGTTACACTAGATTGATAACATAGCAATGTATTTTACTCATTAAATTTTGTGTGTGCAAAATAACAAATTATGCATGAAAAAGTAGCTAGAATCATGCAATAAAGAGAAGAAATGGGATACAAAAGAGTTTATAAATGCGACTATAATTAAGGTACAGAAAGATAACAACTTTTTTTTTTTACATACAGAACTTATTCAATATTAATATGCACTATTCAAACCTGAAATTATAAAATGACTTATAATAATAAAAACATTAAAAAATCATAGGACTACTTATATTACTAAAACAAGTCAAACCTAAAATAAAAGAAAGCATAACGCACACGTAATTCTTTAAATAAAAAATACTTAATATTATTTTTCAAGAATCGTTTCTTTAGTACATTTCTTTTGCATCAGTTAAGCAAAGAGTTGGAAAAAGTCATGAAGTATATCTTACTGCAGAGCAAACATGCTTGCAATAGAAGGAAGCTATTTATCCAGTATATTTCAATTTTGACAAAAACACATTTTCTGAATATCTTCTTCCTCAAAAGTAAAATAATAAACACAACACAAGCAGGCTAAATCTGATGACAATAATCTTGAAAGAAAATACATTTAGCACAGCTTTTATTTGAATGTTTAACTTACATCAGAGGTCTAGGAAGTGTGAGTTAGTGTGTGTGTGTTTGAAAGTGATGTAACAAGAAAAACAACAACAACAGCTTAACATACTTATAGACTTTCAACAATACAATTACTCATACCAAAACAGTTGTATTTTGGTATACAGATTCATCTAGGAAAAGTTGCAAAATGATTTAAAACTTGGTTTAAATTGGCCTTGTCATAGCTTTCCTTAATCTACGAGGCCACAATATAAAGTGTCTTAATTTAAAAAAATATAAAGAAATCTCTGATATCTTTTAAAATTAATATTTAGAACCAACACCTTTAAATAAGAAGGTGCAATCAAAATTTAACAAATATTATCTCATTATTGTTTTAGAACATTCAGAAGGAATTCAAGGTTGCAAAAACTTTAGCCCACATTCGGTAAGACCTGCCTTCGCAAAGACCTAGGAAGAATGAGCAACAGAATTATATCTTGAAAAATTCATCAGATACAGGAATTACCACTGACAAAAAAAGATGTGAAAACACCCTATACCACATCAGTGTTACAATTTGTGATAAATTCATAGCAAAGATGACCTATTAAATGACAAACAAAATATTATTGCCTTACAACCTTCACCAAAATTGGAAGACATTCTCAAAATCTTTGATTGCCATTTCTTCCAAATTCTGATTATAATTCAGAGGTTTGATAACTCACAAATATCAAATCAGCTATCGCAGCGCACAACACTAACCTTTTTAGAGGGATCTAGGATGACATTTTAAAGCTCTTTATTAGCTTACTATTTCAAATCCAAATTTTGTGGATTGTTCAAATTTTGGGGCACACCTGCACTGGGCCAGTGTATACCAAATCCCTATTTGTGTCAAGCCCCGATATTGTCATTCAGTCTGATTTGCTCCCTCGTCTTACCTCAATTTTCCAAATTCTGGGTTCTTGTTGGCTGATCTGCAGGACTCCATGATTGCTAGGAAGATTACCACCATATTCATCTGAAAATTTAGAAAAAAAGCAATAATTTATGAGGCTTTTAAACTATTTCCCTACGTAAAGTCAGCTATCAAAACAAATAATTGGCTGCCATGGTCAACAAAGTCCTACAAGGCAATGAATATAAAACATATACTTGACAAAATGTGGCTGTCAAGTGTTATCATTTCTAACTGAGTAAAAGTTTAGTAATAGCCTGTCCGAGACTTCTAACAGACAGCTTCCATGGGTCAGAACTAAAGTATGCTCCAAGTTCAATCTTCAGTGGGTTAACATCAATAGGTTTAAAATCTTGTACATTTAACAATTTTGTTTTATACATCATTATTAAGCAGCTCACCACTGGTCAGGCAAAGAAGCTATCACATTAAAATAGAGGCACTTAATCAGCAACCTTACATATTTTATCACCATAGCAACTATTTAAAAAGAAATCATCAGAGCTGTGTTCCATCCATGAAGAAGAAATGTAATAAAAAAGAACTTACTGCCACTACTGCAAGAACTGGTCCAGCAAAGCTCCAAATCAACAAGTCGTCAACAGAAAACCAACAGCTGTGTAAGAAAAAAGAGGAACATTTATAACAAGATACTTAAGAGACATCTTGAAAAGTGAGTATGAAATGACACATACAAAATTTAACATCTTGGATAAATGTTCTCAGATTTATTTGAAAATGTGTTAGGTATGGAAAAAGGACTTTAATATGACATACCGTACATGATTTATACAAACAAGGCTTAATTGCCCGAAAGGTCCAAAAACTCAACCTAAAATACAGTTAAACCCTTTTTGTCTATACATAAAGTGAATTAAGATCCATACTTGTGCAACAAAAGAAATCACAAGAGATCGTTGATCATTGTTATTTATTGCCCAACTTATATTCCTTTACAGCCTTCTTTCAAATTTACAACCATCAAACATTAGAAGGATGAAGGATCTCTCATCTCAACTCCTCACATTCTCAATTCATTATACTCCTGTGATTTTACGAAATCAATAAAATTGAATTGCACTCACAAGTGTTCATTCCTGCTGTTGACCTGGGACCCATAGTTGATGTTACTCAGAGGTACAGCCAGTCCAACGATGAGAGCTGACAGACCATAGGATAGGACATAGGAGTAGGTCATGGGACCGGTGTTGATGTCTCGGATCTCTGTCATCATGCGATAGAGATGGACACCCTCAACAAACATCCAACCAAACGCAGCGAGGAGGGCGTAGTGAAGAATGATGGCCACTGCTGTACAGGCATACTGTCATTGTTAAAGAGAATAAATGTAAAGAATCAGGCGCCAAAACCATCCCCTACACAGATTATTTTCTACTTCGGTGACTAAAATTCCATCCTCACTTTCTCCTGGACAGAAATTGGTCTATCATGAGTAACATATTGCGTTTATTGAATAGTGATTCATTCAAATAGCATCTAGTTATTCCTTGAAACGATATATCACATCAGTGGGACAAGGCAGGTAAAATATATTTTCCTCTAATATTGTTAAAACATTTGATCTTCCTCCAACTCTTACGCGTTTTGCCACAGGTTTCTATTAAGAACAAGAAAATCTAAATTCACACCAATGTTCCTTGTTCAACTGATCTACTTGAGAAATTAAAATGAGTGAAATTGACACTGAATTGTCTTTGGTTACTATTACTTCAATATTTGTCAACAAAACATCATTACTGTCTCGGACGCAGTGATGGGGGTATTAGTATATTTGTAAAGCGCTTAGAGACATTTGTATTAAGTGCTATATAAAATTAAATATTATTATTTATTTATTATTATTTCTCATATTGGATGAATCCTCCTATATAGTTTCCATGAAACTCAAAACAGCATATTAAAATTCTCTTATTTTGTCAGTTGAGAACATGAAGGGGCTAACTTCGTATTAGAGTATATGAGCTAATGCCCTTCTGTCTCTGAGCACATGAATGACAATATAACATCCTAGCAACACTAAGAAGACTGACACCAGACCAACTACAGACCACAAAAGATGACTTTATCCCTGAATGGCTATAGAAATGGTCTGTTAGGTAATCTGGCTGACGCATAACATCTCTTAAAAAAATGTGGTTTGAATGGTGACTTACATTGTTCTCTGTACTGATGCCTACACCGAAGGTGACCTCAGCTGCGATGAGGACGAAGCAGAGGTTGATATGGATGCTGTTCAGGTTGGTGTGGAGGTTGGACACACCCAGGAGAGTCAGGAAGGTGATGAGGAGACACAAGATGGCAATACCCACACCTATATAGACAGCTATGGACAGAGTGATCATCACTTCCTCCACATACTGCATTGGGAGAAATATGACCAAAGAGATTGCATCTATTACAGTTGTTCTAAAGATGACCATGATAGACGCTGCTTTGTCCAGAAGAAAACAAAATCAAGAGGCCAAATCAACAAAATTTAAATAATTGCTGGCTTTTTCAACTATGTATGTTTCAAATGTCCAATGTACCTATTTCTCTACATGCATAACAATCTTCTGCAAAGGATTGATAAAACCTGTTAAATTCTGAACGTATTTAGTCAATATTGATCTCCACACTCTAATATTTGTTTTCCTACCATTGTGCTTTCCAGAATAAATTGGGCCAAATGACCAACCGATGACTTACCATGTAAGGTGCATTGTCCATGATGACTGCTATGTTAGTGAGATGAGAACAGGAGCAGTTGATGTGAGTTCTGTTATAACCACTCAGCTCACAGCCATACGTGGACCATCCACCGGTACCATTATTGCTAGAAATTGGAAGAAAACAAACAGTATGTAACAAAAAATGTCTCTGTGTCCTCTGCGAATATTTTGTCTTACAGAGCTGGTTAAAGGCAGACTGTGCTTTTGTAACTTATTCCTTCTAGGAAAGGCTGGTCATTATGGTCTCTTACAGCTAGTTTTAGACCTATCTGATCCGTTATGGATACAAGTACTAACTATTTAGAATGAAAGATAGCCACAGGAAGTATTTCTGTTGTCAATTTGTCTAATGAAGGCCTATACAGGATCAGCATATCATAATTTTAAAAAGAAATGTACAACCTTGCATATTACACTCTACATTACAGCATTCACAGACAATCATCGTTGTAGATGAAATGAAAAAAGGCACAATTACTCACAATTCAAAGTCCCAATAGACACACTGTGGTCCACTCCTGTTGACTGCATCTATAGACTGGAACTCTACGATGACTGGAGTAAGAAGAGGGTCAGGAAGGGTACCATTGGCCAGCTCATCATAGATGGAGAAGGATACCACTGGTGAGTCAATGATCTGACCAACATCGTTGGTAGGTTTCCTGGTGTTGTGATAAAAGAGAATAGGTCAGTTGACATACATATTCTCAAATTCTTTAATTAGAGGGGATTGACTAGAGAGATATGGCCAAGACTTCAGAACAAGAAGTGAGTTCAAAATTTGATATTAATTCTCAAATTAAGAGAGGGGTTGTATGTGTGACAACGCTCAGAAACTCACCTGACATTGTCCTTGGTGCTGTTTGGGAGAAGATTCTGCAAGGTGGAGTAGAGGATGAAGGCTGTCACGGCAACGTTACTGGTGACGGAGATCTGGTTGGGGTCATCAATCTCTGTCCGTGGCTTGACCAGGTCACCGGGGATGTGGACTTGAGAGTTGTCTTCAAGAGAAAGAAGGGTCTCCATCTCGTACTCAGGGACGGCCCTCATGGAGAAGTTATCTCTCAGGATGATGTCATGGTGCATGACTGGGGAGAAAAGACAAAATAGATAATGAAATATGCTTCTCCTAAATGAATCACATCCGTAGCGCTTTCACATTTTACTCACTCAGATTTGTACAATTTTGTTCTTCTTCTCTATATCTTTATTCATCTTGTTCTGTAAATGTCATCATCCCTGGTGCACCTCTCTTTCTCTCCTTCTTTTTCTCTCTCCAAAATCATTCACACTGCTCTGCCTTTTGTGCTCTTTCTCTCGGTCTCACCACTGCATAACATCCATCTCTCATTTTGATACAGGCTGAAGTATTGCCTACCAAAAAGCTATGTTTCAAAGCAATCTTATCATTTCATATATATCTAATGACTTGAGATTTACATGGCAAAGATTTTATATAAAATAAACATTTTTACAGCATAAGCAAATAATTTAGGAGAAAGCATCACTGAGAAAACTGTAGGAGAACTTAATCATCACACATTACTGTACTAAAAGCACACCTTCAATAAAAACATTTCAAATTCTTCTCAGACATATTTTCTCATGAATAAAGTACTTACTGATATTAGGGGTGATGATGGAGAACTCTGGGGTGTAGGAGAATGAGTTTGTGAATTTAGCGATGTTGAGAGCAAATTTCTCCATGTCCTCCATGATCTCAGCCGTCCCTCTTGAGGTCTGCTGAATCATCTCCCAATGAATCCGGTTTTGAGGCTCAAACAGGCGACTCACTGTCTCAACAATGTTCTGTCAACGAAGGAAAATTATATGAAATGTGATTTGAGTTAGGAACAAAACAACACATGAAACTTCAGGGGATTGTAAACAAAGGGTGGTTTCACATGAATCAACATTTTTAAAGGATTTATTGTAAAGGTTTGTGCTAACATGTAATTCTTTAGGAGAATTGAGGAATATACATAAGATATTGTCAATTTGTCATGAATTGCTATCTACATTTATTTCAATTTTATTTAATAGAAACATGAACCTTATCATACCAAACTGTATAATATGTAGGAAAATGTTTTCATGTGAGCTATATATATATTATAAATAATTTTTTGGCAAAATACACCTAAGACTGAATTAATCATAATATTTTCAACAGAACATTTGACATTTCTAAATAGGTAATTCTGAGTTTTAGAATCATAGCTATAAAATGTGTACTATCATCAGTCAGATGATAGTTTAATAACATAGAACAGGATGTGAAAGAAACTTTCTTTTTAGGAAATATGGTACGATAGTTCATATACTTGTTGTTTTCCTACCTTTGTGAAGGACTTCATGATGGTGGCAGTCACGTTCAGTCCCACTTGTTTACTTTCATGTCTAAGGAGGTAGCCTAAGACCTGGTAAGCAATGTTGATATCGTTCCCATGGAAGAGATCTGTTTCGTTCGTGGCTTCCTGAAGTTGCATGGCGATGTTAAAGGATACCTCTGGGTATAGTTTCTGACCATTCTGCAGAGTTTGCAGCTGTGAGTAGGAAGAAAGAATTAAAATTTGGTTACAGAATATTGTTATAAATTAGTATTTCTGTGACCATAGATTCTTCAGTACAATGTATTTCATATGTATGCTCTATCCTCAGCTTTTCAGATAAATTTTTCACTACTGTCCAATTTTTAAAAGACCTTGACTGTAAACATGTCCTTTACTACAAGAAATAACACTACATTAATCATTATCTTATATGCTTATATATATATATATATATATATATATATATATATATATATATATATATATATATATATATATGTTGAAATTAGCATTAAAAAAAAAAAACATGACGAAGCAATTTTCTGCTGATAGATAGAAAGGCATTAACTCTGTGTTAAATGACATGAGACAACACCCTTCCAGCTCTGAACAAACAGTGTGAAAAGTTTTTATTGATGCAGCTGCTGCGGATGTCTTCTTAAATAGCATCAGTATCCACTTGTGATAAGCGGTCATGGCACTTCTTCTATTGTCAACGTTCTCAGTCAGTGTGTCCATTCAGAAAGACCCCAGAAAGACTGTAGTCCTTACTATATTCTGCAGTCGGAGGAAATTGTCTGAGGTACAGTTGAAGAGGCTGGGTGTCTGCCAGTTCGTCTCTATATCGCAGTAACGGGTGGCAAAGCCGTAGCTCTCTCCAGGACAGTCCAAGGTAGCCGTCTTTCCAAACTTGGTTCTTGGCCACCACAGAGCCTCGGCAAACCGCTTGGGACATGAGTCATACACCACTGGAATGTAGAGGAAGAAAAACAGCAATATTAATAATGAAATCTATCATTTTAAAAGGGAAGTTAAATGTAATATTGCGACTTAAAACCTTCCGACTCCTACATCCTTTCAATCTCTCTAAGCTAAATACAGGAGAAAAAAATTCTATAGGCAAAAGGTTAATGAACAAAAAGATAATTCTAGTATAATTCAATGCATTACAACACCCCATTCACATAAAAACTGGCTGGGCTTGTGACTATTAGGGGCCCAATGCAAGAGCGCCCCAAACTTTAAATTTGACACCCCCCCCCCCCCCATTTAAAAACATAACCAGTGCCACAATGCATACACAGACCCTAAACATGTCTATATGGACCCCCTGTAACAACATAAAGTGTGGAGCCTTTCAATAGGTTTCAAATTACTAGACCTAGAATCGAGGGTCAATCGTTACATAAAACATTTATCCAGACATCATGAAATATGTCATTTATTGGGATATTTCTGTAAAATTCTGTGATGAACCTTACCTTCACAACCCCTGAGAGTGACCTCAGCATGTGGGTCAACACACTCATCACATCGTCTACCGATGGCACCCCTCTTACAGGTACAAGCCCCGGTCTCCTGGTTACAATCCTGGCCTAGGGAGCCTATCTCATAGCAGTTACAAGGATAGCAGGTATCGCTATCAGATGGTCGGTACGAGTGCTCCTAAAAGAGTATAAAATATGTGACAATTAATTTAAGATAATTTTTTGTGATAATTTCAACTTTATTTCTGTATTTCTGTCAACTCTTACATTCTCTTCTTCTCTTTCTTACTTTACATCTTATATTCTCTCTATATTTTTACTTTCTATTTTTCCCTCTTTCCCCTCACCTTCATCTTCCTCCACTCTCTGTCTTTCTCCCACTCTCCTATTCTGTAATGACTCGTTATTTGTCACCTTTTGTCCATATTTTTTCCTATTTCCTAGCCACTTCTTATTCTTCCCCTTACTAAACCAGAATGACATACATAACAACCTCCATTCTCTCTAACAATAGCATATTCCACCGTCCCATTCATTAAAAACGGACACCAACTCACCGCACAGTAGCACTCGCTGGTTGTCTTGTTACAGGCAGACTCAAAGCCCATCTCCTCGTCACACTCACAAGGGCCACAGATCTGGTGACCCCACCAGTCGTCCGCACACTCGTTGATGATGTTCTCACAGTGGTCTCCATAGTAGAGGTCAGAACAGGAACAGGTGTAGCCGAATTCAGAGGACGGGTCGAGTGTGCAAGAGGAGCCGTGCTCACAGACGCGCAGGTCGCAGGCCGATACACAGTCGGGTCCAACGTAACCTGATGAACCATAAATTGATTAATGATAAACTACATGTACATTCTTTCTACGGGCAATGACGAACTTTGAAGAAAGTTCTTTACAAAAGTGGCGGTCTCAGAGGTGATACTTCAAGTTCTTTGGTAATGCAGCAACCCTTTGTTTGCTATAATGTCTTTGGAAGAACGGTTTAACTGAAAGCTTTCACATCTATTAAAGCTATTGTTTGACACTTATATTCAAACAATATGTAGCATAGAAAATGTTTTGTCACAGAGACATGGCATTCTGTACAATCTTATTTCCTACTTATTCCCTAGCTGCAATTTTAACCTGTAAATCATGATAATTTCATATGTAAATTTCAGTATTTTCGTTTTTCAATCAAATAGAACCACAGTTTAATAAATAACGATGGTCAATGATAAAATGAACATTCAATGTTAATCAGCTCTTAGGTAGGAAATCAAATACATTATTCACAAATAGAAGTAATTAGACTAGAAAATTTACCTTTATTACACTGGCATTCATTCGCATCCCATAGATCCACACAAACACTATGGATTGGACACTTGGCAGTCTCACATGCTCTAGGGACGTTACATCCCTCCTCAATGTTTACACCTTCCACAGTAGATGGGTCCAGGGGCCTTTCACCGATAGACATACCCTGTTATCACAAAATATATAATATCATTCAATTTTTATTCATTCTGTGGTTTTGGGGTCATCATGCATAATATAATCCAGTTTTCCATCATTCTAAGAAATTTTGAATATTATATATTAATAAATAAATAAATCATATGTATTATTATTATTATTATTTAAAAAAAATTAATTTTCTTTCATTTGAACACGTTTGGATTATTGAATACAAATATAATTTAATTTCCCTTCATGCTAGGAAGTGTTGCAGGGAGTTTTATAACATATAACATAATTAAAATTATCTTCATTTTAATTTGGGGATTACTACAAATATTACCAAATACAAATCACTATTGATCAATACCGTATAGTGCTTTGGTAAGAAAACTAAAGAATATCCATTTTTGCCATTTTTTTTCTGAGCAGTTTGGATCAGAAAGATATAATACCATTCAACTTTGCTTTGGATTAGGATACGTATGCTTTGGGGTCCTCATAACATTTGGCATTTAACAATTACAGTAACAGCTACAGTAAATGTAAAGTAGATGATTTATAAAACAACATATTCATTTCCAGTGTGTAATTACCTGCATGCATCCTGTGAAAGCATTGTACATGCCATTATCAGTCAGCCTCCCGCCTAGATCCACTCTCTCTACTGTCTTTCCATTGATGGCATCAGTCGCACGCACAGACGTCTGGAAACAGAGGCAATATCATTATGGTACCATGTTATTCTGTTTATGTTACAGGAGGACTGATGCTAGCGATTGCTAACACATGTTGTATTTTCATACCCGACTAACAAATCTCTTGCCTTGATGCAATGGATTGATTTGTGATGGCTCTTTGGATAAAATATGGTCTGTGTAAAGTGCAAGCTAACTATACACCCTTTGATGACACTCCCATATCCACTGATGACTTTTAAAATTTCTTCTTAACCTTTATCATCACACAATACACAAGGACTTGGAAATGGAATTGAAGTTGATCTATTGTTGATACTGTGATTAATTTGAAACAAAACATCATCTGTACTTTAATATCAGCTCTGTCTTAACATTGAATAGCATTAACAATGAAAGGCAATTAACATAACAGTGAATAAGTGAAGGTGTATGGCCTATGGACTTTGTTTTTTGTTACCAATTCACTTCCTCAACATTGCTTCTTAATGCGAATTCAGCTTCAGTCATGTACTATCCAAAAGTAATTTGTGACATTCTACCTCTTTTGTTGGGAATTTACAGGTGGTAATTCATGGGAAATATTTTTTTTCAAATTCTAAATTACAAATGCTAAACAAAACACAATATCAACAAATCTTTTGTTAGTCATTCACTTGATTTACAGAAAAATAATATCTATTCTTTACTGTCACTTACTTTGTATTTGTCAAAGTCTGAGGAGAGCTTGATTTTATCATTCTTCCATTCTGCTTTGATGTCATGCCACTCTCGGTCATTGAATGTGACCTGGTCAAGCTGGACATCCACTGAACTGGTCACATAGTGAAGATGGCCTTCAACAAGCTGGATAGAAGGAAGAAAATACCATTGAAATAATATACATGGAGGCAGAGAGTGCTTTAGCTCTAGAAAGCTGATAAAGAGCTCTGGTTTAAAAAAATATAACAACTGGTGATTATCCTACTTTTGATCCTTTTCAGGAGTTTGGTTACAAATGTGTTTGAGATTAGGATAGGGTTAGGGTTACGCTTACAGTTACGCATAGTGTTTGGTCCAGAATTGAAGTTTTGGATTCAGTTAGTTTTAGAAATTGACTGGACAAAACTTAGTCACCACAGCATTCATGATTTTGTATGAATATCCCTGTATTATCTATTTACTGATGGTTGTCAAACAATCTACATCATATTCTAAAATTTCGATTGGAGGGTAGAAAATTTCATAGATATTTTCATTTTCATTACAAAAAGCACTATATAAACACTTTTCAGACCACTGACGCCAATGGCTTTCAATATGGCAGCTGAAATGAATAAATTAGATTTGCTTAGAATGGCCCTTTATACAATTACATAAAGATGATTTACGAGTATGTTATAGACAGTAGAACACATAGCTAGATCCCCTCTCACCTCATATCTCACAGATACACATTACTTAAGAAACACAAGTACATATCTCTCGTAACATTTCTCCCTCTGCAGAACATACAAACATACCTCGATGCGAATGTTGATGTTGTTTGACAGTTGGATAAACATGAGGACGCCATTGGGCTGGCCGGTGCGAAACACGACCCGATTGGTCCAGGGCAGGCTGACGGTATGCGTAAGATCAAATCTCATGTAGCTCTCACCGATGAAGCGAATGGGGGTGGACAAGGCTGTAAGAATTCAGAAGATGAAACTCTTTGACATTCAATTCTTGATTTACTGATGTTATATATTCAAGGCAAAGTGTTTCACTTGGCAAGTACATAGTCAATTCTGAAATAAATATTACCAAATTTGTTAGAATGAAGAAATTCTAGCATAAAGTGATGTTAATGATTGAAATTTATAGGGTTCAAATGACACTTGTGCTGATAAATTTCAATTCATCTATAATTTGTTTTTATTTGTACAGGGCATGCTTGTAAAAAGTGTTATACAATATGTTTGTTCTCGCAACCTTCATGGAAAGCCCCGCATATAACCTTTGTAAACATAGTTAAAATTTACTGTTACTTTGTATATTTTGATTTTTATATTGCGAAATAAAATTGAATTGAATAAAGATTGGATGGAATTTTTTTCGAAACATTGAAATTATGTCTAACTAGGACTTATGATGAGCTTTTTGCATAACCTACAGTTTGACTTCATGTCTCCACGAAGTGTAGTTGAATCTTCTCCTCAAACGCAATAATTTTTCTATAGACACAACCGGACAATATAAAGATCTACAAATGATAATTCTACACTATGCAAAAGTGGATGTATGGGACCATACCTTCCTGGCAATTGACTCCTCCACTGCCACTGGAGCAATGGCAATGGTAGCGATCCCAACCGTTCTCACAGGACCCTCCAGTATGACACGGGTCGCTCTCGCAGAAGTTGGCCTTGTGAGGGCAGCCTGGCTCCGTGTTGTAGTCCTCCACATTGGTGGCAAGATCCAGGAGCTCGTTGTTGATGTAGATGTCACGTAGGCAGCCGTCAAAGTCAGTGTTCTCCACAGGGAACTCACTGGGAAGCTCTGGGAGACCGCCGATGATGAAGGGTCCATTGAGGTCCAGGAATCTGCAGGGAGATACAGAAAGTTAAAATCATTAGTTTACAAAAAAAAAAATTCTTTTGTTGAGGATAAAGAAGCTGAAATGGCACATATGAATGCATGAATTCCTTTATAGTTTTATTTAATCTTCCTAACAATGAGCTAACCTATCATACAAATGACCCATTGTTACATCCATTTTCAAATTTGATTTCTTATTTAATATTCAACTGATCATCAAGTAGCATTACAAAGCACAGCATTAGTGTGGCAGAAGGCTCTATATATGGAGGAGTTGTTTGCACTGGTGTTCCTACTTGTAAACAATGCACTTACCCTTTATCTAATTACTAATATTATAATCTTCTGATCTTCAAGAAAGACGACAAGATGCAAATCTATATTTGTACTCGGTCATGAATTCTTATGTTATCTTAAATTGAAAAAATTAATGCTGAAACTAAAGTGTAATTAGAAACCAGAACATGATAGTTTCCACTCATTTGGGACCAATTAGTCATTTGTATACCTCACATGATTCTTTTTCCTCCAAAGAGCAAAGCTGCTGAAGCTTTCTCTCTCCTTTTGTTTTGATGTACCTTCCTAACATTCTAGCCCGGAGGCATTCTGAAAATTCAATACCCTCCATGTTTCTACAAATCAACACCCGCGGCAGAATTTTTCATCAGCGCTAGTTATTTGAAACAAGATACTACAAATTTGCAGCCCATTTAGTTCACCTTCCCAGTCTATCCTCTTCCATGTCTTTCATACAGGCACAAGCAATGTCTAGCATCTTCCTCTAGTATTCACTGTCTCCGTATGTCTCTCCATTTTTCTCCCTCTACCCCCATTTCTTTTTTTTTCTCCCCCCCCCCCCCCCCACCCTTCTCTCTCTCTCTCTTTGCCCCTCTCTCCTCATTATCTTTATTCTTTACACAAGTTCTCTTCCCTATCTACATTCTCTACTGTCTATCGTCTATACCTATTCTTATCCTAACCTACACAATTCCATAATTCCCTTCCCCCTTCATATCTCATTCACAATTTAGTCATTTTTTTTTATGAAGCAGCCAGATTTATTAATACCAATTTATTTCTCATTTATGAATATCTTATTGTACTATATCAATGATGGACAAAATCTTCAGTTTATACAATTGTATTCCCAATTTTTTTTCTATCCCCGTAAAACTCTCACTGTGGATTTTTCATAATTTCTATCACATTCTAAATCCATCCCCACTCAAGTTTTCTTCTATATTTCTATATACATTACACTAATTAATGAAGCTTTTAAAATTCTGCCCACACCATCAATTACATTTTCCTTGAGAACTTCCCACAAACCTCCTCCCTTTCACCTTCTGTTCATCTCTATCTCTCCTTTCATTCATCATACATCTCTACATTAACTATTACTCCATCTCTCTTTCTCACTCTCGTTTTGCTTTCTCTACATGTATTTCTGTTCTGTCAGTTTATCTAATGTATGTTTATTTCTCTCTATTTCATTTGTTTTCCCTCTCTCTCCCCCTCTCTCTCTTCCTTCCTCCCTCTCCCCCTTGGCCATGCCTACTCCCAGTACTATGCGGCATAGCATTCCTATACTTTGATGTACAAAATGGGGAGGCACCCCTCAGAATATGAGATGAAAAATGAGACAGCCAGAGCGAAGAAATCAATCATCTTTCTAATATTTGGCCGCAGACAGTTGGGAGTGCTTGCGCCCGACTGGGGCTTCATCCTATCCTGTCAATGCCTCAGCAGCAAGGCAGGAGGATTGAAATGGCCCTTTCAGACTGGAGGAAATTACACAAAACTTGTGTCAGAAAGGAATCAGTATTTATAGCAAAAGGAGTGTACAGATAAGATTTGAAACATTGTATAAAGAAACAATTATTTATATAGCAAAAGGGGATGTAAAGACAAGATTAGAAAGATGTATAAAGAAACCATTATGTAGAGCTTAGTTGACATGACAGCTGGCCAATCATCAGTGAGCGCTTAGGATAAGCCCCGCCCAGTTATATGGTTTTTAGTACACACTACTTTCAGACTAGAATAGAACCCCAATTCTGTAATGAGTTTTATTCAAAACAATGCTCACACTTGTGTTTTGCTATACGACATTTCATTTAGAAACAAAGATAAGAAAGACAAGAAACAAAGATATTGTTGATCAACTCGCTATACGACTTTACAATGAATTTGGGTAGTGTGAATGGGGGATAAGCGTGTATTTGGATACTGGATTCTCACAGAAGTTTTAACAAATGTTGCTCAAGTGTCTTTTATCCCAGGGATTTGAGGATGAGGCTGTTGGACAGTCTGAAATGTCCTTGAACAAATAATGCCCCTGAAATAGTAGCACTTTATGAGACTTACGTGTCCAAATCTTTGACGGCACTAATGGCATGTATACAGTTACATGCAAACTTTCCATTAACATGTAGACAGGCCTGTTTTTACACCAGAATGTATGATTGAGTCATGTTATTTTGTAATAAGCACTTTTTCTACTGAACATAGAAAGAAAATCTGAACAAACAAGGCTCCTGCAAACATTTCAGTGATGGACTTCATACAAGGTTGGTCAAATAGTAAATAAAGGGATACTTGTGTGTTGAGAGCTTTCAGGATATTGAAAAATAAAATGATGTTGACTTAATCTTGCTGAAAATAAAAAGAACTAAACACAGAAATGGGTATGTGGGGCTACACACACAAGACATGCAAGTTTGGTCCAAATTTTTCAGCTGTGTTTCATCATAGAAAGACAGCTCAATTCTTATTTTTCATCTTTGAATACCATATTCAGCTTTCTCTTTGACATATCCATCTTTCCATCATTCTGTTGAGACATACATCCAACAATTCTCACCTGAGTTCTCCAAGGAACTGTGTTTCTGCAGCGCAAGTAAAGTCATCAAACTGGTGGCCATTGTCAAGGGCTACAGCTGGGTCACAATCATCCAGAATAATCCTTGCAGTCTGGAATAAACAAACACACACATTGATAGAAATTAAAACATAATCATGGAAAACTAGAGCACCCATTACATATTGATTTCAAGTGTATTTACAATTAGAGTCAAAATGTACAAGTTCTCAATTGATTGCAATGTATAAACTACTAATTTGAAATATCATGGTTTGTTTCTACAATACTATACACAAACTTTCCATCGGCACTTTGGTTGGGAAAGAAAATCATAACAATACACATACATCTCTTGAATACAGAAGATGTATTTCATGTGGTATTATTATCATGGACTTAAATAAAACCTGACTAAATCAAAAACAACTTTAGACAGGATAGTTAAAGGTAAAGACCAGTATTGGAACGCCCCAATTTCAAAAAATGAAATAGAAGCTCTCATAACCAATCATGTAAAAGAATATGTTTTGAATAATACATGATGATAACAAATTTGCCGGGGAAACCGCCTACTAATTCATGTATTTGGTAAATTTGTTTCTCTCATGGTTTGTGAGAGATATAGGGTAGTCCCATATACATCTTTCTGTGTATAGTGCTTATAAATTTACAAAGAATGGGCCAAATTTCTTATCATTTTGATGATTCCAGAACCTTGCAGATGCTAGATGCTAGATGATCAACCTTTCCTGATCGATTCCACAACGTTTCTTTCACAGTGCAATCGCTTGACCATAACTGGTCTTTACCTTTAAGCTTACCGTTAACACTTTTTGTGTGGCAAAAAATAATATTTTTTTACATCTTATATATACGAGTGTGAATATCTGCATTATACAAATAACTTGTGTATTCTGTTAAAAAAATGATATCCTTCAGTGCTTCATGTTGGATTCAGTTTGTAATGAATAATCCAACGATTAAATATATCATTTAAATTCAGAGGCAGCTTTATTTACAGCATAATCATTCAATCTAAATGCAAAATCCACCCCATTGAATCTCTCACTAATGTTGTTATTCTTTTTCACCTCAATCCATTTTCATTATTCATAACAAGGGAGTTTCCCTAAGGGAGATGTCCCCAGAATCCTATAAAATATTAATAGCCCCCAAACAAGATGGTGTTAGCTGTTACGACCCTTCACGACCCTCACCAAACCCTGCTATGCATCAAGTATGAATTTTATATTAAACCCAGGACTGTTACTGCATCACTCTATGAATATTTCATGTTATGTCATTTACCATTAGAAGATGTCTCTTCAATGTGTTTCATTCTCCATCTATCATACACATACAGTTTTCTGTTTTACTCATTATGACTTGGTAAATTAGAGACGTTAAGAACTCTCCATTTGGCAATAATTAGCACTTAAATCAATGTCATCAATTATAATTTCAAGCATACTGTAATTCACTGCTCCCTTACTCATTTCAGACTGATATAATCAAATACTCTTGAGGAAAAACAGCACATCCAGGACTCCAGGGTAGATTTTATTCCACAGTATACACATATAGATATCTTAATGAGACTTACATTCCAATTGCTATTTAATGTAGCCAATATTACAAAGGTTTTCTGTTACTATTTTATAAAGTAAATCTTCACAATCATGAACCCGACGGTCCTGTATCTGTCAGCCATTATACTTTGACCTCTTTTTCATTTTGATTCCAAACTTTCAAATGGTTCTATATATTCCATAATTATCTCTAAAAATTGACTATCAAGAAAATTTCACATGTTCCAAGTAACACACGAATACAATACAACTTTGAAATTATGCTCTTTCTTCAGCATAGGTCTTGCTATCGTTATTATCTGTGTACAAAGAGATAGGTTGGTTACACATGGCTGAATGTCAATATTAACTTCAAATAGAGAAAGAGGAAGATTTCTAATTGCACTACTACCTCACCACTAATGGCAAACTGAATGCATTGTAATTGTTACTGCACACATGACCCATACATATATGTCAGCTACACTGGAATACTGGCAAGTGGGAAGTTGGCGCCATGTTACAAAATCCTGCTTCAATAAAACTCCTCTGTAAAAATAGGACAGAAACTCTCGAAAATGCAATAAATCAGACCATGTTCTAGATTCGGAATTAAATTTATTGTGCATTTCTCGAGGATCAAAGTAATGTAGGCTATTTAATTGCTGTCAGACACGAATATGTCACTGTGGCAGGTAGTTATTAAGCCATAAATAGGTGAAAAAGGGGCTATTAATCCAAACTTGTCCTCCACCTCAATTATAACTGAGCAGCCCGCATCGCATGAAATGGGTGAAAAAGCAAAATGCTGGCGGCCAATTTTTCCAGACCTCTTTCATCCTCTTCCTCTGTTTATTCCTTCCACTGCAATACACAATACCACATTCATCATAGTTTGTCAGTGCTATTAGCGCGTATTCCATGGAAATTCCCCCAACAATATGCAAACATCTGAATCAGGAAAAAAATGGGGAGAAAAGAACTGTCGGCAACCTACAAATGAAAAGAATTGCCGCCGCCATTCGCCCTCACCTCCGGGTGAAAATTTTATCCAATCTTTCTCCTTTTTTCCCCCCGATTCATGCACTGCTCAAATGGCTTTGAGTTAGTAGAAGCAACCAAGCAGGCGCGAATGCGTTTTGGACTACGCTCTGGTGGAGCTGAATTGAAATTAAATCATCAGAGTATGTTTAATAATCTAATCTTATAGAGCATTTCATCAAAATGAAATCCTTTTTCGCTGGATCTGTTTTCCAGTTAATGGTGAGAGAAAAGACAGACATTGAGAGGGTTTGTTAATATTCATAGTCTACTGATTAAGCACTCGAGATTGAGGGTATTCTTTTCATTACAAGAAAGGCCTGGATATCTTGACAATGAAATGAAAATTATGTATAAAACAAATACTTTAAGAGTATGATAGAAATGTATTACATTTGTTTAAAGTAAAAGATAAAGGCCCATGGTAGAGACCCCCCCCCCCAAAAAAAAGATTTCATTCGAAACTTTCTTATTATTTTGAACTGTATATAACAGGAGAGATGCGTACACACAGCAAACACTTTCATTTTCACTTTATTGAAAAGGGAGAAAAACATAATTTGGAGTAAATATCTTATTCCAAACAATAGCCAAGCAGGCTTATAATCAATTTCTAATATAGTCACACATTGCTTTGGCAATGCAAACATGAGAACCTTGATTAATGTTTACAGTGGTTAATCACACTAGTTTTGACCTTAAAAGACAGGCATGGTAGATCATGCATGAAAAATATCATTTCTGTTGAAAGAACCATTCATTGTTAAATTTGTATTGTCTAGTTCCTATTTCATTTGCTTTTCATCACCTCTGCATTTATATTTTTGCCTTGAATAAAGCAAGTTGTCGGTGATTAACACTGTTGAATGATTGTGGTAAAATGCACCCCATTGTACAGTGTTCAAATATCAACGGCTGACTATTGAGAAACGGTGCATATCCTACTCATTAAACACCTTCATTCAAGATGAAGTAGGATAATATACCATGAATCTATTTATCAGTCTACATCAATGAATTTGATATTTGCCCTCACATTGAATCAGCGATTCATAAAACGGATCGTTGCCTTTCCTACAATGTTTCTTTCAGTACAACAGGCACTCGATCTTGCACCAATTGCAAATGTTGAGCATTATCCATGCCACAGTACGCCTTCATCTGTATACACTGTATGTGTCAAGCCTTCCCTTCTCCAAATCTAGGTTCAAGTTCTATTTGCACATAAGTTTGGATAATGATATTTTCATCATTCAAGACTGTTTGGAAGGCCCTTGCCCCCGTTCCACATCTCAAATCCCTCCTCCCAGTGCTGCTTATTTTCTTCTTCATCTCTTCAAAAAGAAAACAAAATCAAAATTTCAAACTTCTCATGACCGAGTAGAGAGCTTGCGCAAACACGGGAGACAAAGAGCTGGGCTGGTGAAGTGGTGTGGGTTTACGCCCGTCGGGTGCGTGGATGCGGGGTGGAAGGAGGTCGGAGAATGCTTAGCGCTATTAATGGGTTTGGTGGGGAGGATGGAGTATCGATGGTGTTGGTGTAAATGAATGGTTAATGGATGGAGAAAGCGTTAGGTCTGAAAGAGAAATTAGAGTCAAGGATAGTGTCTTCAGAAAAGAGTTTCATTTTCCTTGATCATAAGATTCATGAGATAATACAAAAGGAAAATAAATACAATAAAAGCTAGATGTTTTCAATAAATTCAGGTATTTTTCATAATGAGGAAACATTATGGCTAAAAGTAATGTATTGCTTCAAATTAGAAAAAAATGAATAATTAATATAATGTCATCAACGGCAATTTGTGTACACTGTACATACTCTTTAGAAGTGGCTGTTGATTGCAAGTCTAAAAAGCTTGGCTAGCTGACTCATCGATCACCACCATCATCACCATCATCATCTACAAAACGATGATGCATTTGAGCATAATTCCCAGGTAGCCGTCCCCAGCCGCTTTCAAGCTGCTCTACCTATGCTTGGTCATCATACATGGATTAATTGTCCTGCAAATTATTCATGCATCTTTGACCAAATGGAATGGAGGGCTTTGCAGACTTCATTCAATGCAGAGCAGCATCGTACATGCCCTAGAGAAAATCGCGTAATCTTATGCCACTAGAAAGCAGGCTGAACTTGTGATTTTGGTGGGGGGGGGGGGGGGGGGGGGGGGGGGGGGGTGGGGGTGGGGGTGGTTACGATATTCACATTTAGTCGGTCATTGACTGTAGATTTGGGTTGGATGAAAATCCATGAGAGGAAGGATGTGAGATGGGAGGAAATGCTTTTAGAATGCATTAACGTGATCATGTCTTCAATGTTCATTTGCTGAGATAACACTTCATGCAGCTCCACGTTTTAAGAACTCTGGTGATTGTGATGATGATGATGATGATGATGATGATGGTGATGATGATGATGAATATAATGATGATAATGAATATAACGATTATGTCATTAAAAAAAGGACCAAATATCAACTTTTGTAATTTTTACAAAT